TTGAGATTACCCACATTTGCAATTTTTGTTTTTGGGTTGGAATTCAGAATACCCACTTTTTTTTTTACTGATTATTTTGGTTGAAATATTTAATTTTTAATTGAAAATGTGCTTAACTAATTATTGTATTGTTCTTATTTTTGAATTGAATATGACAGATTTAGCTCTGCAATTTGCACTTTTTTTTTTTTAATTTTTGACACATTTTTAGAGTGGAATTCTTAATTTTGAGCTGAAATTCAGAATGCCCAACTTCAAATTTTGTACATTTGAACTTTATCATCCTTCTTTCCTTTCAGGTGTTGGGAGCGGAAACCCATTTTCTGGGAGATGGGATAAGGAGAGCTTATGAGGGAAAGGTTTCGAAGCCCCCGCAATATGGGTTCACCCAAGATACTCTTATTGCCCGAAGACAAATCCTTCAAGCTGCTTGTGACACTCTTTCTAACCCCAGTGCTAGAAGAGAATATAATTCAGGCCTTTCTGATTCATTTGAAGAGACTACCCTCTTTGATGTCCCTTTCGACAAGGCAAGTTTTTATTTTTTTTATATATGTGCCCTCATTTTAAATTTTGTAAATTTTTGGTTGTTCTTTTGCTTATTGAAATGGACAGTTAATTGGTAGTACTGTGCTATCTATGTCACGAGCTTCATTAGGTTTCGACTATGTAGAAATGTAGTTAGAAGTGTTGATATGTGGGCAACACTATATTTGGGGAAAGGATATCATATTACACATGGTCTTGGGTAGCTTGAAGATGAAATTTAATGAAAATTCCTCAAAAAACACATTGGCTTTTGTAAACTCATTGGCATTTCTCAGTATATTGGGAATCGATAATGGAAAATGTATATGTTACCACATGTTGAAAGAATTTTCATATTAAAGGGCACTACATGTGTGATTATCTCATTTGATTTGTGGGTTTTGGTGCTTTAGGTTCCTGGTGCACTGTGTATTCTGCAAGAGGCCGGGGAGTCCGAACTAGTCCTTAGAATTGGAGATGTGTTGCTGAAAGAGAGACTATCCAAACCCTTCAAGCATGATATTGTGTTAGCAATGGCCCTTGCTTTTGTTGACTTCTCAAGGGATGCAATGTCATTGTCTCCTCCTGATTATGTCTATGGCTGTGAGGCCCTGGAACGTGCTCTAAAACTCTTACAGGTAACAGACTCAGTAATTAGTTGGCTATGATGTAAGAGAATTAAATATTCTTTTTAAGACTCCAAAAATCCCATATTCCATTTGATTATATTTGTAGTGAATGCATAATGAGGCGGCTTGAGGAAGTCACTAAGAATGAAAAGCTAATTCTAGGATTGGGATTATCAATCATAATCTTTTCCTAAGATAGAGTAAATCTGAGTGTTATTCATTTCTCCACTTATAACCTGACTTTGGGTAATAATAAAGCATTGGGCCACTAAATTTTGGATTGGATTGTGTGTTTAATTATAAATACGCCAAAACTTGGAGGCCCTACCTTGGAACTCTGATATTCTTGTTGTGTAGGAGGAAGGTTCAAGTAGTCTTGCACCAGATTTACAAGCACAGATTGATGAGACATTGGAGGAGCTTAAACCTCGTTATGTTTTGGAGCTCTTGGCTTTGCCTCTCACTGATGAATTTCGGAAGAAAAGAGATGAAGGTCTGCACGGTGTGCGCAATATTTTATGGTCTGTTGGAGGAGGTGGTGCTGCAGCTATAGCTGGAGGTTTCACTCGTGAGGATTTCATGAATGAAGCCTTTTTGCATATGACAGCAGCTGAGCAGGTAAGTTCAGCATTTGCCTGTTTTTCACTATGTATTGTGTAAATCATGGCTTTCATATTGTAAATTGTAATTTTTCTTTCTATATTTTTCCTTGGTGCTTATTTTGGAAGTGCAAGTAATAAAGAGATAGGAGAATGGTTTATATGCGAATAATGTTCACTAGACCTTCACAGCAAGAATGTAGAAGGCCAATCAGCTTGGTTTTTTTTTTTTTTTTTTTTTTTTTTTTTTTTTTTTTTTTTTGGTGTTTAGAGAGCCACAAGGGCAGGTGATTTAAGAAGGGGCTCATTTGAGGGGGGAGATAAGGAAAATCCCTCAAATGAGTCCCATGAGGTGTGATCCCTAGACCTCAGGGATACAAGGTGGGAGCGATGCCACTACTCCATCACCTCAACCTCAAATATGGACAAGGAGGTTCGAACACCTTTTGATTGGTCCAACCTTTTGATTTTATAGTATAATTGAGGAAGAGAGTTAGGTAAAATCAAGTTCCATGTTGGAACCAAGTTGAAATAGTGGCCGATGCTCTAAAATGCAAGAAATCCAATTGTTTGCAAGAAGGTCAATTAGCTATTGGACTGGTTGCAACAGCTCTTCATTGGTCAAGTCCATATTTTTGACTTTCATAGGTTACCTTTCACCCCCTCCTTTACCCCTACAAGTTTAGCAAAACCTCAGATACATTTTAATAGTTTCAGAAAAATACAGTTGAATACTGTTGGACATTACTTGGATAGAAGAAATTTTGGTTTTGAGAATAAGGGCTGCGCACACATCATTCCCTCTCTGAAGTCAGGACTCCCCACCACTCGACACCCTTGCATGGAATCTTTTCCTGAAATTAGGAGGATGCCCCCTCTCCTCCTCATTCCAATTTAGAAATAAATTTATTTGCTTTCTTTTGTCTCAGGTTGATCTTTTCACTGCCACGCCAAAAAATATTCCAGCTGAAAGCTTTGAAGCTTATGGAGTAGCTCTTGCACTTGTTGCTCAAGCTTTCATTAGCAAGAAGCCTCATCTCATTCAAGATGCTGATGACTTGTTTCGTCAACTTCAGCAAACCAAGTTGGTGCCCATAGGAGATTCCATTCCTTTATATGCTACTCAAGAAAATCGTGAGAAAGATTTTGCATTGGAGAGGGGTCTTTGTTCTCTGTTGGTTGGAGACCTTGATCAGTGTCGGACATGGTTGGGTCTGGACATTGAAAACTCGCCCTTTAGAGATCCATCAGTTGTGGAATTTGTGCTGGAAAATTCAAGGAATGATGAGGATAGTGATATGCTCCCAGGACTCTGTAAACTATTGGAAACCTGGCTCATGGAGGTGGTTTTCACCAGATTTAGGGAGACAAAAGATGTGCAATTCAGACTGGGGGATTATTATGATGATCCTATTGTTCTGAGGTATTTAGAGCGGCTGGAAGGAGGGAGTGGCTCCTCATTAGCTGCTGCTGCAGCAATAGTGAAGATAGGAGCTGGAGCTAGTGCAGTAATCGGTAACGTTACCACTAGTGTCATACAGGCATTGCAGAAGGTGTTTCCTCCTAGTTCTGGAGAAGAACACATAACCCGACAAGAGGATGTTGCGGTTAATGGCTTTGGATATGAGGATGCATTGGCGGAGGTGGGGCTTGGTTTTGATAATACTTCAAATTACGCTGAGTTGGCCAGTAAACATCTTGCTGAAGAATATCATGAACAAGAATTGATTACTGAGAAGATAAAAGATGTAGGTGTGAAGGTTATGTGTGCTGGTGTGGTGATTGGGTTGACGACTTTGGCTGGCATGAAACTCTGGCCTGCTAAAACTGGTTCTGCTATTCTGCCCAAGCATGTTGGCTCAGTAACTTCATCTGTGACTTCTGATGTGTCCAATGTGGGTATGACCTTTTAAAAAACCTCTATTCTTCACCTCATTTGAGTACCTTTAAGGCTTTAATATACTCCATCCATTCTATTATGAGTGCATCATCACAGAATTAATGTCCTACTCATGTTTGTCAAATGACAAAATTACATGTCAGATCTATAGGCTATTACTCTGAATTGTGATAAATGTGGACTGCAATGTCTATTAATTATATAGTCCCAGCATCAGGTTGCGCATATATGCTTTATTCTGTAATTACAATTCATTAAAATATTTGCAGGCCTCGCAATGAATGAAAATAGTGAAAAGAAAATACCAAAAATGGATGCAAGACTTGCAGAGGTTCTGGTGAGAAGATGGCAGAGTGTTAAATCGCAGGCTTTGGACCAAATCATAGCCTTGAGACGTTGCCAGAGTTAGTCTAAGCCTTCCCTTGTTTTTGTGGATAACACTATTAGAATCATTTAGTAAATTATTCTCTAACTACTAACACTAAGGAACAACTATCAGGTTTTGGATGGCAACATGCTTAAAATTTGGTCTGATCGTGCAAAGGAAGTTGCAGAGCGTGGTTGGTTTTGGGAATACTCCCTATTGAATGTGATTACGATAGTGTGACAGTATCCCTTGATGGTAAACGGGCAACAGTAGAAGCTACTCTTGAAGAGACGGCGAATTTAACTGATGCTACCAACCTGAGCACAATGATTCTTACAGCAGAAACTTACACAACAAGATATGAACTGTCTTATTCTGATTCTGGGTGGAAGATCACTGAAGGTGCTGTCCTCCAATCTTAAATTTCAGTTTATCTGTAAATATCTCTCCTCTTTTGGTTGTCTTTGTACGTATATTTTTGTTGGCAGTACTTGATGATGCTATGTCAATTTGTTGCTAAACCAGCTTGGGTCATTTTTCATAGTAAAATTTGCTTCTGGTTGTGACGCAAAGTAATTTGATTTTTCAAACACCATAAGTTCAACTGTTTGGTTGAAATTTTGTGATCAACTCTTGTCTCCTTTCATGTAGGCCTTTGGAAATTGTATTATCTCACTCTCTTATAGGACCATCAATAAATTATTTTAAGAAAAATTCTCAAAGATTCTACATAAGAATTAATTTTTTTGAATTGAAACAATTTATAAATATCGGGGGAAAAAAAAATATTACCATGGTACCCAAAATTATAGAGGGGGATAGTGCGTAAGGCAATCCATAAGTTATTTATGAGTCAATTACACATATCTTTATGAGGAATAAACACAGAAGTCAGAAGTTAAAGTTGCTGTTTTCCAACACCCGAAAGTTTAACAATCAGAAGGAAAAAATTAGATTAGTAATGTAATTAATACCAAAGTTTGTTATTGTAAAAGAGTGAGATTATAATCTATACACTTACATGTCAAAAGCATTAGGATACCCTCGACATGCTTGATTTCCAGCTATAAGATCTTCGGTTTATGCTTTTAGTAGTGATACTTGGACCAACAAACATCTCCTTAGGCACTTGACCTTCATCTACGAAACCAACCAGCTTAGCCACAAGTGTTGCACTTTCTCTGATGTGTTGCATGTCTTTGGTGTCTGTCCAAAGGCGGCGAGCTAGTTGCAGTCTCCTCTGCTTGCTGTTCATTGTGATCCCCCACTGCTCGAAGATTGACTCCCTCTCTTGTACTGGAATTTTCTTGTACATTTGCCTCATTAACATCTCCCTTTCTTGATTCAATGCCCTCATGCTGTGTTATGAAATAAAGAGTAGCAAGATTAGGCTTTAAGGGTAATGATGCATTCTAATGTACACAATGCATAACTGATCAAAAGCTGGAAATTTCAACTATACTCATAATACAGATTATAACCAACCGAAAAAATTTGAGTTTTGCAGATAATTTCGTAAAATATCTAAATATAAAATATGGTCTTGGCTTAAAAAAAGGCATTAGTAATTCTTGCTAGTGTACAAGTTATAAGATATACCTTGAAGATGGTGTAGAAACTTCACCATCCACAACAATCTTCTGGCCTTGATCAAACCTGTTTTTGATGAAAGACAGCCTTCGGAGTTCTACCTCTAAGTAAATCTTATCAGATGTATCACCCTTGAACAGCAAGTAAAAATAGGTTCTGTGGACTAATGGTATATGGCAAGCATGCCAAAGTTCAATTATCTTGAACCGTAGACTCTCAAATTCTTCGAACCAGTTTGCTGGGGATTGTGCAGTGCTCATCGCTCCTTCTGACATGGAATCCCTTACCCTCATCACATATGAAGAAACATCTCTTGCACTTTCACTAGATTCACTGTCCTTTGGTTCGTTTTCCTCCTCAACTTTGTTACCATCCTGCAAAAAGCAAGTATATCAATTCCCTTGTGTGTTCATATCTCCCTTTTTTTATGTCCTACATTTTTATCTGTCCACTTGAATATTTTACATCTACCAATAATTTTGCAAATGATGCAATTCCTGAACACTGACTAGTTGAAAAAGATTGGTAAAAGGGACAGTATTTAAAGAACTTCGGTTCACTAATTCATGGAAATGGAAATTCGCAATTGTAAAATTTGGGTGTGAAATTCATGTCCTACCATGTTACTGTGAATCATAACCAAAATCAATGCAAAACAGGACATACTAAATTACTGACCATCTCATATCCCATTTGCTTGCCAGACTCATGTTCGGCATTTCCATTTGTTTCTACAGCAGAGCTGTAAAAGCTGGAAGCATCACTGACATCTGAGTTCTTAGCATCCCGTTCCATTTCGTTCATTATTGCATTCCTTATAGAAGGTATAGGGAGGCCAAATCTCGAAGGCTTTCCATTACCCGTAGGAATGTGATCTGATCCCGAGGCAAGCCCTTTGGTCTTTCCGAGCTTATCTCTTCACCAAATCCAGCAAATGATAAGTCCCTAGAATGGAGGACTACCTTATCGAAAATGATAGATGAGGCGGGGTTTGATGTAAGAATTGCCTTGCAGCTTCTGCTTCTGCTGAAGCTCGACCCTTTGTTGCTCAATCTCTCTGAGTCGATGGAACAAGGAGAGAAATTTCCCAAGGGATTGTGGTTAACAAGCATGTCAATAGTCCTTTGGAGTTCCTTGATCCTTTTTACCAATTGATCGTGTTCAGAATCACAGTGATGCGACTCCTTTTCTTCATTCTTTTCAGTCACTGGTGCATCATACTCAGCAGCAGAATGTGGTGTCTCATTATCTTCATTCTTTCCAGCTGATATGGCATACTTCTTTTCTTTGACATTAAATCTTTCTTTTTCATTTTCATTTTCTTTCTCCTCTTCACTCTCTATTTCATCTGATATCGTATGCTCTCTTTCATGCACATCTTTTACGATACCCTCTTCCTGAATTTCTTTCTCTCGAGGAGAAATCATTACAGGAACTGATGATTCAGAATTCTTGCTAATGCTTCTTTCTTCAACTTCAATACAACGAACCTCCTTGCAGTTATCTTCATCGTCTTCATCGATTCTTCTTCTGATGTTGCCAGTGCTGCCCATTTCCCCCCAGCTTAGTGACAGATCAACAGGAGTGAAATCTAGTGTGGTGTCGTCCAGTGGTTGCAGTGAGGATTCATTTGGCAGAAGGTAAATGTTTTCTAGAAGATCAGACCGTTGAGTGCTAAGGTCAAAATTGTCCTGTTGATCAAGATACTGAAAGGATTCAGAAGTTGCCAGGTCTGCATCAAGACGCCGGTAATCTGATCCGTCAGATATTTCTGATGTATCGTCAAACCATGATAATTTATCCCGTGAATCAATTCTATGATGGTCATATTCATCATCCTGTGGTTTTGAAACCTCCTTTTTGCTTGACTGTAGCAGCTCTTCCACCTTTGTTTGAGCAAGGTCACGTTGTCTACTGAGTTCTTTTATTTCTTTGTCCATCTGTGTTACCCAGATTTTTACAAATATAAGATAAACATATGCAGACATATAAACACAACTTAAATACAATTGAAAATATGTTTACACCTTTTCTATCTGAATTTCTTTCTCTCTCAGAGCAGCTGCAACATCGCCCTTGGAAGAAACCATGGGCATATTCTTCAAATCGCTCTCTAATTTGGGCCAATTCTTTCCTTAGCTGCTTCACCAATGCTTTGTCAGACATTACCACATTAACCTGTGCATTGGTGCTAACTTCTTTTGCACAACTTGCAAATAAGAGGGTGTTTCTTGATTGTTCTAGATGACTGTGAGCAGGGCTCATGGTACATATAATGGCAGTTCTTGCATTTCCTCCTAAAGAGTTTTGTAGTATACGTGTTAACTTGGAGTCTCGATAAGGAATGTGCCCATTCTTTCCCTTGCTGTAATCAAGTTATAGTAATGCCTTAAGACTTCACGTTCTTATAAATACTGTAATATTTTTTCCAAGACTTAAATGAGGTTAACAAACAAACCTTAATGTGCGAATAACTTTTCCAAGAGTTAACAAACTTCGATTTATGTGGGAACCTTCTTTCAATCTTGCACCAGTTGCTAATGTCTGAGAAGTACGCTCGCTTCCTGCAAGGTCCACAAAGTTCTGCATGCCAAAATTGTCAAGTTAACAACTACTTTTTCAATTCCTTATACTACTATAAACATAGAGTTAGGAGCAAAGATCAACTAATACTTCATACCACATTTGCGGCAAGAATACTTGAATTTCCACCACCAAATCTACGAGCAGAGCTTTCAATCGTCTACAAAAGTTCCAATTAGGTTATTAGTAAATCATGGCCCAAAATAGTTTCATTTGCGATTGAGCTAATTCAGTTCTTTAATGTAATTGAAGAGCTTACCAGTCTGAGGATTTGATGAGATCTAGAGCTGGCTTCATTCAGAGAAGTCTCTCCCGTCTGTCTTTGAGCTACGAGTAATGAAAACCAAACATCAGTTAGTTTCTGTGACATCAACTAAACACTCTACATTTGTTGTTGACTCTGCACACATCTCTACCTTCACATACAGCAATGAGCTCTAGAAGATGGCTCTTATCTTGGAGAGTTTCTTCGGTTAACTTCTCAACAACTGTACCTCTCTGTTAAACCAAAGTCGACCAGAACATTTAAGGTGGTTTAATTTCTTATGACAAATCTCAAATATGTCTGTAAAGTACTGATCTAATACAAACCTCAGGATCATCCAGAAGTCGGAGAGGATTAGTGTCCGTGCTTAGAAGGTCCCTAACAAGTTCATTATAGATTTCAATGGCTGAGAACTTCAACACAAATTCACGCTCCTTTTGCTGTTACATTGTCCAAAAACACATAATTTTGTTAGAAAATGTCTCAGTGACCGGCTATTACTGGTTCTTAAAATTTTAGATGCACAAATATGTTTTTTATTTCTGCCTGTATGTTTTAATTATATCAGAGTGGTATATTCAGCAATCTTGGGGACTTATAAGGGGGCATCTTGGGATAGAGGGAGAATTTAGTGTTATGCATAGCTGTGATGTGCTGAATTCTCATATCACGGCTATAAACTTGGAGTTTCTCATACCTGTTCTATGTAATCATAGATATCTGCTACAGCATAATGTGTAATTCCGTTCATTGTGAAGGTCTTCCCACTGCTTGTTTGTCCATAAGCAAAGACGCTAGCTAGATCAGACAAATCGAAAAAAAGTAAACCTACTTTGAAACAATAACACGGAAATTAAGCACCATAAACACAACCAAATTGTATCAGATTTTAGAACATTACTCACAGTTAATGCCATTGAGAACAGAGAGAGCAATTTCTTTGGCTGCTTCCTCGTAAACTTTCCTTGTAGAGTCGTTATGACCAAATACTCTGTCTGTCAATGTATAGCACAAAAACAGAAGGAAAAACTTCATTCAAAAAATCAATCTAAACATTCTAAACATGAAGGTACATCATCATAATTAATAGCTTTGCTTTCTTGGCTACTTTTCGATATTCAATACACGACAAAACAGCAAAAGAAAGGCAATGTACTTACCAAAACATGCATAAATCCTGCTTATAACAGGTCTAGCAGATATTAATAGCAGAAACTTCAGAGTTTAAGGCGATTTGCTTACCAAAATTATAGGCATTCGGATTCGTAGACCGTTCACCAAGGCCATTCTTGAACAAAATGGTTGTGCTGTTGATGCTCTCCCAATCCGCAAAGTCATTGCTTTGAATTTCCTTTTCATTGAGAGGCCTTAATCTAACTGATACAAATATTTTTTCGTGGCGAGCATCGGACCCTTGTGCATTCCATTGCTGCAGGTCGTGATCCCCACCTGCCACCATCTTTCCACCCTTTGCACCTTCCTTCTTTCAACTCTTTAGCATACGATGATCATAATCTCGGGTTCCCTTGTTGTCGTAATCAGCTTGTTGGAGATAACTTAGACCTTTATTTGGTTGATTGTTTTTGTTATTTTTAGCATACTCTGAAGCCAAAACAATGAAGATGTCAAAAAAAATATTGACTTTGTTTTCTTTGCCAGAATGAAGCATTACAAAGAAAAAATTGAACATGTCAAAAGGAAAAAAAATTTAAAAACTGTAATTTTATATGATGGGAATCCAAATATCCAATCAATCCAGTACATTGCACAGCTGTTTGAATGTTTAGAAAAATACAGGTAGATTCCTAGAAAGATTAAAAGATGAAAATCATTTTCAAATGGGATTTTAGAACATGACCTTTTAAACAAAAAAATTGACAAAACTTTAACTTCAAGTTGATAAATTCAACCAAATCTTATTATGCAATGCTTATCTAATGAAATTATCCTATAGAATTTACATGAAAGATTCAGAAATCAACAAAAAAAAAAAAAAAAAAAAATGGCGAAAATTCGAATGCAGTTAATATTTGTTACCCTCCTTGGCTCCTTGAAACAAATGTATAAGGTGAAAAAATTTTGGTTGAAAATGAAATATAGAACCAAAATGTACAACTTTTTTTTCAGGGTAAAAAATTGATAAAACCCCACCAAAAATAAAATATTTACAGCTATAATGTCGTTGATTATTTTACCCCTAAATAAATGTTGTTTATTTGATGAGAACGTGAAGGGAAATAGGAGGAGCAAGAAAGGCGAAAAAATCGGGAGAAGAGTAGTTTTTACAGTTTTTTTTTTTTTTGGATTTTGTATTTTAAAAGATATAGACTTGTTAACAGAACAAATAACTGTCATTATTCTCACTTTTAGTCAATGAAACAACTAATGTGACCGCTATCACTTGTAAGTTGTAACATGCCCATTTTTTATTTTTTTATTTGTGAGGTTGAAATTGTTAATGGACCAATTCAACCAAAAGTTTAAGCTTCTGAGGTCCAGAAATATGTTTTATACTTTATCATGCCAAGTGTGGATGTAGCATGAGCCCCACCATATCCAGTTTAATATTCTACTTTGAAATGAGGGGTGGATGAGATTCAAACCCGTGACTTTTTAGTCACACTGGCTCTTGATACCATGTTAATGGACTAATTCAAAAAGTTTAAACTGATGGTTGAGGGTCAGGAATATGTCTTATATTCTATCAAAAATAAACGGTTGAGCAAGAAAATAGCCTTAATAAAATAAAAATACACCCGAGTCACCGAGTGTAAGATAAATGTTATTCTTTAAAAGAATGTATCATTTGTATAGTGGTGTTGTACATTTGAGTATTTGTCAATGTATATCAAGTTAATGAGTTTGAATTATTCATAGACAAAAGAAAAAGGATGAATAATAAGGGTAATTAGGACCAGTAGTATTGGTTCTCCACTATGGGGAAGGGATCACTAAGCCTACCAATAATAGAATGTTTAATGATATATTATAGGAAAAGAAAAACAATCCTTGTCAATTTTTTTTTTTGGTTGCAAGATTAGATTTGAAAACATCTTCTATATTACGGAGTAGTTTGTTAAGCTCGTGTATTGTCCGAGTTGTATTGTTGTCGTGTTTTTGTTATGTGATTGTACTTTTTAATTGATTTTATTCTGGTAGTTGACACCTAAAGAGATTCATAAATTATGATAGTAAAGTACTATAATCATATTCCAATTGCAACTCTTATTTGTCTAATAACACGATATTCATATCACTATTGTAATTTCTTCATACTTATCCGAAATTCCAAATATATGACGAGTAATGGTCCTTCAAATTTACAAAAAAGAATTAGATTCAAGAATATGATAAATGGATATTATGTTAAAGCATATTTCAAACTTTTTACAATGGTATAGATTAGATTCGCCAACCAAACCAGCCATATATTAGATTAGAATTTTCAAATAGCCATCCATAGCACTGTATTATAAATTTAATATACATAGAGAAATGACATGATATATTCCGGAGCCAAGAACCTAATGTGCGAGTCTTGGATAAGATAGTCTCACACCAATGTTTGTGGTTCGTCTAAAGTTAACTCTAAAAAATACAGTAAAATCATAGACATTCACTGGTTACACAATTTGTTAATGTGAGATAATACAAGACTGAAAAAAGTAGCAACCTTCTTACAATCTCTTGTAAAGTATTGCTTACCATGTTTAATCTCTTATCATGGTAGTAGAAGGGAATTATTTCATTGATTTCGGTATCTCTCTATGTACGGGGTGTGAAAGTAAAGCTAATCGAGCGTATAACCAAATTGGATAGCATAGGAAACAAGGTGGTCGATCTCATTCTCATTGATAACTCCATCCAAATCTATATCTGTATAATGAATAGCGTAATCAGCCCTGTAACCAGGAACACGAGCTCCAAGTGCACGAAATGCCTCCTTTAATTCTTCCTTATCAAGGCAGCCGTCACCATTCTTGTCATGAGCCTTGAAAATTCTCCTCAGCTGATCTTCACTCAGACGACTCTTCTTCTTCGATTTCGCCATACATCTTAAAAGGTTTCGTAACTTCCCCCATTGACTTGCCATGTTTTCGCAGCAATGCAGCAGCCTGTCTTGTTAGTTTACAAGAGCTAATAATGAG